GAGGGGGGGGGGAGGGCTTAAGGGCGAGAAGAGGATGACGATGGATGCACTTCTCAACCGGATGTCGTCGTGAGATTGCCATTGAAGATTTCTCCCATCCCAGCCATATATCCCAGATGTAGGTAGATGGTGCTTACATGGGGTATGAGCACAGCCTGCACCGCTATTACAGACAAAGGGGTTAATGGTCAACCCGGATTCAAGTTCGACACCTTGAAAACAGTTTTCGAGAAGGCATCACGAAAAATCCGGAAGTTCAAGAAGCCTTATAAACTGCAAGGATGGAACAACGAAAAAGATTACGACCAAGTCCTCGAACGAATCGATGACATTGAGGCTCTGAGAATCTAGATACAACCTCTGACGACGAGGATGTAGAGATTATCACGTCGTCACCCCAACAACATTCCAAGCTGTCACTTCGGGACGCCCTGTCAGTTCCAGAGCTTCTATCTATACTTTATGTGGCTGTTCGACTCTACTCTCTATTCTTTTGAGGTTATATCCTACTGCTTAGTAGTAGAAAGGCGATTGCTATTACTCTTAGCATCTGCTCTGTTGACTGGCCCTGTCGACCTCACAACATGTCTTCTGATCTAGTCCCCACCGGAATGTCAGACATAGATGTCTATCTTATAGGTAGATATACCCATGGGGATGATGCCACGCCTGAGGGTGCGGCTAACATCCGCCGCAAATGCCCTTATCCCCGCACAAAATGGTACTTCCGCGGCTACTCCATTTCCATCATATATTCTATCATGGCTGTCTGAGAAACAATAAGTCTTCTTTTAGACCTTATTGCCTCCGATTGTGAGACGGGGAGCGGATTGGAGTCGAATGTGGCCAAAAACTCACAAGCATCGACTCAAACACAACAAGGCGGCCAGGCTCGCGCTCTACAGCCACACATTAATCACCCGAACGCTCAAGAGCCTTGACTTCTCCGCCGTCCTGGCAACAGTCTGCAACATCTGCTCAACAGCTTCAAAAGACTTGTCGTTCGTGCAGAAGACACAATCCCAGCTACTGCGTTAATGAATTCATTAACAATGCCGGCCCCCTCACCAGATTCACCATGCCACAGTACGGTTGCTGGAAGTACCAGCATTTCAACGGACGCCCGAATGGGTCGAAACAGATTTCCGCCATATCGACAACTCGAAACTCCAAAGATCTGAGTCTGTTGACTATATTCGGAGCGAACTGCTACAGTTCTCAGCGGGCAGAAATATTGGCTGCCGTACCTGGGCCCTGCAAATTCCCTCAAGCCAAGCGTGCTGGCAAGATCGTTGGGAGATGTATTGCCTATGTTTGTCCTTCCCTCGGGTATTCCCCTTTCGAAGTATTCATGGCAACACTGAGAGTCGGCAAGCTCGACTAGGGTCGTGCTCCAACTGCGAGGGAAATGGTATCAGCTTAGGCTGGGTATTCACATCCTATACGACACAAATTCAGCTCACGCCGCTACAAAGTACGCCCTCACGCCTTACAGCACCTACAGCACTACAACTACAGGGTCTCGGTGTCGCATTTTAACCGTACATGTAACAGCTACCAACAGACCAAGTTCAATGGAAAGCTCCTCTCAGAGCTGGCCGCTGAGACATCACGGCGACAAATTGATTTTTATCAGGATCGGGTAGCAATGAAGCAATGTCTTCACGTGTCTTGCGTGCCTGCGCCACCTCCCAGTCAGTCCTCACCTTATTTCCAAGGCGAAATGGGCCAAGTCCATCGAAACATTCCCTTTGATCTACGAGGCTCTGACCTGAACCTACCACCAGTTGAAAACTTCAATGTCGGATGACTCGTCGTATCAGGACTGGCAAAACTTCAAGCCCACTCCCCAAGTGTTCGAGATTTCAGAAATACGCCCTAGTGTCTGCTATCACTCTAGCCCGAACCACAACTCGCAGGGCGCCACTCAAACTTAAGAGGTCCTTACACGCAAGACTTGAGAGAAGAACTTCCTGATGATTTAGGAGAGACTCAAGGAGCTCCTATTCAAGACGGGGGAGATAGGTGGCTAGTCCCCTTAAATCCACATGCAGTCAGCAGCAATTGGTGGGAACTTGAATCACAAGTATCATTCAGCAGTAGCTAACTGGCTCTGCTATTAGATGGATATAATAGTCCAAGTTGCAACTCTTGGGGCGCCACCCAAGCTCAAGGGATACGACATCGTTGACGGCTTCTAGTACACAAGGACTCTGGAACGCGATGGTGGCTCACTGCAAAAGCGACGAGAGATCCCACTATGTTTGTCCAACATGTCGTACATGTCTGCATTGTGAGGACTGCCCAGCCCCCTCCAAGAAGGGCAGTTTGATTCATATGGATATGCTTGAACCCAATCGTACCTTGTACGAAGACGAGCGAAACTGGTCGGAAAGTTGGTCTCGAAAACGAGCGCGATCTCACCAATGACGAGTTCAAGTGACATGAGGATTTGCTGTTGGTTCGAAGCATCTGATTAGTCTGGCGAGAACCGCAATCCTCTGGTCGTCAAGACTCCAGCAATCTGAGCGATTTAATTCCATGTTATCCCATGTACTCACGATCCTTGAGCCGCTGAGTAGGATTTCCCAAATCCAACGGAAACAACCTTCGACTCTCACGAGATGATGAGCAATCTGAAGACTCGCTGCGGCGTGCCAGGGAGCGATGCTGCTTTTCTAGAGCTTCCAGCTCAGGTTCTTCGACAACCTTGTCGATGTGATTCGAGCTTCTCATAGCGCTGGAACTTCCTCAGAGTACGATGTGCGATTCCTGGATTTTGGTTCCTTCACTCCCTCAAGCATCCTTGTGCTTGGGATCCGTGAGGCGTCAGTCAACATCCAGAAATTCGTCAAAGACTTTACAGTCATATTTCTACAGACTCCTTTCGCGGATTCTCTCCCACCTCTTGGCGACTACGCTGAGGTCATGAAGGTCGACCACCTTGGCCCTCATAAACGCCCCTATAGAACCCGCTCATACTGGTCTCCCTGTATGGAGAGATATGGCAGAAACAGTGGAAGGAGTGACGACATTTGGGCGCTGGGCATCTCACTTCTCGGGATGATGGGAGAGGTTGCCTAACGTCGTAATCAAAAGGCAGCAGAAAAGGAGATTAAAGCCATCCCGGCGGCTTTCGTTGAGATCTATGAGATACAAGCCCGCCGAAGTACTTCTGCGTTGGGTTGGTTAGTCCAGACTCGCAGAGTTCTGGCGACGAGGACGCTCTGGAGTCTCAGCCTGTTACACCCACCAGTGTCAAGAACCATATCAATATGGCTGCCCCAGGATATGCCCAATTCATCAAGAAGACGATGGATGCTGATCCGGATATAGTGACCAAGGCTGTAGCGAGACAATTTGCTGAGCTTATTGAAGCTCCACTGGGAGAACTGGCGAAGACACCGCTAGTAATTGTCATCGATGCCTTGGATGAATGTGAAGGTCGCAGATGTTAAGAATGAGACTGGAGACCCCGAAGACGAACAATTCAACCCAGAAAGCATCACACAGCGAAGCTTCACCATCGACAAGACGAGAGACAGACCGCAAGTACGACTTCGAAAGGATCACCTCGAAAGCTATTCCTTCGTCAATCTACCTCAATATGACCCGACTGATGGGCCAGGACTTGCAGCACGCTTGCAATGCAGCGATAAAGGAAGTTGAGGACAAGGTCGAAAGAGACAGCTCGGCTGTATTCTGTTAACGGCACTGAGGAGGCTTGGGCGGAGATCGATAAACCGCTGTGGATCGCAAATTGTATGGAGTTGGAGGGTTTCCGGCGTGCGCTTCGACCACTGCCCGATTTCCCACTTTATGCCATCGCGGAATAGGTTGTTCAAAGACAAGGTAAGTAATGGCATAGGCCTCAAACTCTCACTGTGGCCATGGTGTGGTTTGTCTGTTCATCTCTGGGGGCCCTGACCCATCCCCTCGTCTTGAAAATCCCTGCCTCGAAAGCATAGGGCAACCATCTGGAGTTGACTTCGACAACACAAGTCAAGACCTCTTGAAAAGAAACCAGACATGATCCCATACTCCTCAACCAAGGCCATCTTAAGCATTTCCGCCAGCGTTACCAGCGGAATCGACCTGTGCATTCGAGTATACATCTGAAGTAACGTACTCGACTTCCCTGAGGTACATCAGGTCGCACATCTCATGTGTGACAACACGACTGCTAGTAAATACTACAGTTATAACTGGAAAGGCTAGTTGATGGATGGGACAGCGCCCTCGGTGGGCAAGGAGACCCACGGCACTATCGAGTCTCAACAACCGGTACTTGATGCCGAATGGATCATCACCTGGCTTAAGATACAGTGTCATATGCTCGAGTGGGCACAAGATGCGGAACCTTCACAGCTGATGCGTGGGAAGCAGCTCAGAAAACCTCAACCAATACCATCCAGGTACCAGTGACGTTCTTCGACACGATTGACCGAGTCATCGACGGGAGATTGTCATTCAGAGATCAAATGGTAGAGCATGGTGAGCACCTTCAGAAGGCTTTCGATGTGAAATGGCGGGCCACGAGTCAGAGACAAGGCCAGCACCAGCACCCTACACGGTGATTAATGTTCATAGGTGCAGAGACACGCCTGGCGGTCAAAGTGTCTATACCGAAGCATTTCAGTCCATTACACTTCAACTTCAAAAGAACAGAAAGTTGCAGCACTCGAGGTCCGCGAAGCCGGTCGCCGACCTCAGCGGGAACGGAAGGCTCATACTAGCGGCAAGAATGAATCAAACCAGAGATGAGTGGGATACGAGGGAGTTCGCTGCCATTGTTACAAACTAGGTAACACTGGTCAAGACCACCGCACTATGAGGGGAAACCCCGAAATTTTCGAATGGCCTGGCTCCAGCAAGGCCATCACCAAAGTCCCTAGTATAGCGGAGGCCTCCTGGATGAGTGATTGGCCCTGTTCAACCACAGATGCTCAAGGCACACCTGAACATCTCCACCTCCCTACTCTTTTCTGCTCGTGAGATTGGAAGTATATTTCCACTGCACCTAAAGCTCCTATGCTGTTGGTTGGCGTTGATGCGGACAACACGATCTCCGGAGACCGGGTCAGGGGTTCCGGAACAAGCTTAGCTTTTACGAAACCTGGGCCGCGAGCTCCAGCATTGCTGTATTCATTCACGTCCGTCGTTGCACATAGAAAGCCAACCATCGAAGTATCAATGACGTTCTTCGATATCATCCGAGACCTTTGTTTCACCGGGAGTTGAGAGCACCAGAAAGAATCCACCAACTGGCCACAGCTATCTTCAAAACCATCTTCTCTCATTCTCGTCGTTTGGATATTTGAGTATTCCCTGATTTGGTAGCTCTCCCTGTCATCGGGATAGCTGTCGCGCCATCAGCCTCCTGACATCGTTGTATCCCCAGAACAACAGATCCAAGCCTGAACTCCAGGTATTCATCAACAGGCCCGGGAGAACATATTGAACGAGCATTCAAGATGAACAAACCGCAAATAATCGATGCCTACGAGATACCAAGCAACAGCGACACAGAACACCGGCTCAGACATCATGCATAAATGCCAGGCAACCCAGGAGCGTCTCGATGCCGAGGGCATTACACAGACGTCAAGATTGGATCCCCAGTGGTCTTGTTTTCTTGTGAAGCAGGCGAAAGAACTTCCAGCCAATATGAGATGTCATTCGACCAGCCTTCCTTCCAGAACATGTTGTGCGGAGAGCAGCTATCGACAACTGAAAAGGACGGACCCAAAGTTCCTACAATCTCAGGGCCACAGGCTAGGCGACAGCCCAGTCGGAGCTCAAGCAAGGGCTCTCGATATGTCCCTCTTGGTCGAGCTCACTGAAGGAGAAGTTGCTGAAAGCATTGGCGTGGACCAAGCCACAGAAAAGGACATGGAAGGGGAGGACGATCTCCTCTGCGAGTATTTGGGGTCAAGAGACTCCCAGGGAGGTAAGCTTCGAGCCCAAAGACCCGGTCTCATCCGTCAGGGGGCCATTGTACCTGGCACTTCAACTGCCCTCCTCGTCGAAGCTGCCATACGAAGGAGACTTTCGAAAATCGACAGACTTACGTCTATCGTGAGTTCACATGAGGAAGCAAGAATCAGAGCCTCGCGCCAGGTCGGGCGGAAACCGACAAACTCATCAATGAGGTGAAAAAAAAAAAATCAGAGATTGGATTGTCCAGACAGGTGACATATTCGTTACGAAGGATGATGATATCTCGGTTCCCTGGTGCCTCTGCTCAGCTTCTTGCAGATAGCCATCCCCGAGAATAACAGAGTCCCTTTCTCAGTATCGATCTCAAGTGAATACCTCTTCACTTAGAAAGTTAGCACGCGAAGATGTGTGCTGATAACTCACCAACAAAGATATACGGGGCAGCACATCAATAGCTACATGCAGGGGCAGATACAGCTCACAAGCTGGTTTTCGACAATGTAGGAAAACGAAAGCCAGCCTTCTCTGGGCAGTGACTATGGCCACCAGCCAGATAATCGACAGTGTCGAGAACCTACATCTATTGCTTCTCGCTCCTCAGATATCCATGCTTCTCATTCAACAATTTGAGTATGCTGTCAGCGATTTCCTGGCCTTGGCATCATTGTCAAGATCTTTCTCACCCTAAATCAACAGCCGGCACTGGTACCGTATTGGTCATTCGGACTGCGACTGCTTTAGAGAATGAGAACCCCGGCGTCTACTGAACGTGGGAGGATATTCTGATACAACCGCATGATCGTGGACTTATTCGAAAGCTCAGCTCAGCACAGGACTGAGACTATGCGCGAACAACTTATGATGATCTCAAAGAGTTCATAGAACAGCATCGCGAAGCACATGACAGGGACCTACCTGGCGAGCGGGAAGGAGTTGATCATTCGATAAACATAGCCCAGGTTGTGTAACGATTCATTTCGACGGCACAATCGACAGAACAAGAAGGCTTAAGGACAAGCTGATGGTAACAATGTTTCGTACGTCCCCCGTCCTCCAGTGGTACCGACATCGACTCTGTCGAATTATCTCGTTCCCTCCCAACTACTGAATGCTACGAACCTGAGGGAGACAAGGCGACTGCGGAAGAGAAAGCCGAGACACTTGGTGGAGGCATGTCTACGTTGGTGTTAAATCAGGCATGACCATCCTTCTCGCCCAAGAGATCGTTATCCTTCTCAAGACCACTCTTCTGCTCCATCTTGTCACGCCCCCACGCTGGGAGGGCGCCTTTTCCATACCAATCTGCGAAAACTCATCTCTAGCAATAGCTGGGATAGACCGCGGCCATGCTAGAGCTTCTGATAAAGGTCTCCATGAGGCAGCCCATCTGCAACACTGCTCAACACAATACCTAGGACTGCCCCGAGTTCCCAAAGAACGATATACACGAGATGATCAATATCATGGTCTTCAACAGGGCTAATATGCCACCTTTGGTGGGAAAGTTTTGGTACCCGATACTGTTTGACTACATGAAGGCAGCCCATCATAGCCGCCGATATACGGAACCCAGACCTCATAAGCCAGGCAGTTATACTGTGTCCTATGGCCAAGGCGATGGATAGATTTCGCCAGGGCCCCATTCCTGCATTTCAGTTGGAGTGTTGGGAGTAAGAAGGTCGTATTGAACTACACCAAAAAGACAGGTTCACATCGCACTGATAGACATATCTATTTGTGTTTCGCTATTTCTCAAGCTCGGGGTCGACGAACCCTGCAACATAGTCGCGCGACTAATTGCCTGCGCAGGGCTGACCTCGCCCTAGAATCCCAAAGCCTAGACGAGGCATCTAATTAATACTTGAGAAGGATCAATCCTTTCATCCTACAACAAGATGAACAGCCAGACCCGCCTCAGCACATGGAAAGCCTCAATGCCTTGAAGAAGTCCGGTAACCCCAGCAAGCTCCGATGTGCGCCCCCTTTCTCCGGAGGACAAACCGAATCAGTCGGGCAACTCCAGGTTAGAGACCGATCGGGCGCGTCCAAACCAACGACGTCCGTGTCCACAAAAACACCGTGAAGCTCACGGTCGACCAAGCCTATGGCATAGCCCCGGAACTAATTGCCTGCACAGCATGCCGACATAGTGGCGACCAAGTTGGTAGCCAGCCTCCGAACATACCTCACACTACAGTCACAACAAGACCTGTCTGATGACAGGCACTATGCACTGGTACTCGGGCCACCTACTCGATATCGTCAAGGCTACCTGTGTAATAAATGAGGGCGCCAAGATTACGAACGAAGATATCCCGTTCCCAAACGGCTCCGATGATCTCCTGGTGGCTTCCACACTCGACGACGCGACGCATCGAGGCTTTCATCTGCAGTCGCTACCGTTGGCTTTACCCCAATCAATCGGCGATGCCACTCTCAAATTCATCACTCGTCCACTGGCGTAAAACTACAGCACCATGAATGGTTCTCAGAGCCTCCCTTACTCATAATTGCTATAAAAACTGGAGACACCGGAAGCTATGGCTGTTGGCCATTTCGCGTCCGTCGAAAAGATCGACAACACCACCAGAATCAAATTGTCTCTATGACTTACACCAAACCGCAACAGCCAGTAGCGGAATGGTGATATCCACAGGGCCTCTAACCTCTCACAAGTGCGGGGTTTGTAAGGAATATGGACCGCTCATATTCCTAAAATATGCACTCGGACCTGTCATGAGTGCCCCTGTTCATCGTTGTGAATTGCGCTGATTGGGATGGAGAGGATGCCCACTATTAGCAGCGTCAGAGTTCCCATGATGGTACGAAAGCGAGATAGAATGTGAGGCTAGTCCTCGACACGTCCATCCTTGGCATTTTTGAAGTCATCGATCCAGGGGGCTTTATCAGCATATGAAATCATTGGAGACGCTGCGTATAATTCACAGTCAAGGTAATGCTCGAAAGACCTGAAGACTGCAACAAAGATAAGATCGCGCCGTCTCTTGCTAAGCTGATCAAGGTACGTTCATCCTCTTCACGGTGCGTTATATACCTATAAGCTAATATCAAGTACAGGAGGCCTGGTTTCCGATCGAAAAGTCTGGCCCACAGTGGCTACAAACAATCTCATGTCACTACTCCCTCATGGCGGAGAGGAATAGGGCCTTCCAACCGCTTGATGTTCCTGTGAAATGCTCAGAGTTTGATTGAAGGTCGTCATCACCAACCATCTCTCGTTCTAGCTTACGCGTATCAACGTCAACTGGCCTGGCTTCAACTCTTCATCTGTGCCTTCTCGCGCATACTTGATACAGATCTCAAAAGCGGCCCATACTTACGATGTTCAAGTTTTAGCTCTCTGCGGAGCCAACAACTGGTGCCGCTCAGATTCTTCGACGTGATGAACTTGGCAGTTCTGCTGTGTCAAATACTGAAGTATACCAAATTCTGGCTGCACTGTTCTTCAACCGGTACTTCCTTCAAGAAGAGACTTTGCAGGAAGAACCATGTCTTGTTTTAGTCTAAGACACGCCGGAAGCCACAGTTCTAGTGGACCGACGATCTATCGGCGAGTTCATCAGTGAGTATCTTCAGATGACTCGGAATCTTAGGCGTCTTAGCCGTGTGATGAGACTGGCTTCGAAGTGGACGCCTAACGCCACCAACTTCAAGATCAAGAGGCCATGTCTGAAGCTCAAATAAAAAATACTCGGGAAGCAAAGAAGCCAAAGAATCGAGCACATCTGCTAAGTTTCGCTTCCGCCCCAAAGTCTGCTACCGTCAATCCCCGGAATGCACCATGTGAGATTACCAGGGCGGTATTATCGTCCAGGGTTCGTCGAGCACAGGGCCCGGTGATATTTTGAACATCACAGCCGTCAATGCAACAGGCCCCCAAAGCTAGCCACTAAAATACTACAGCAGACCCAGGCGTCGAGGGACAATCGAAGGCTCTATGCTAATACTTCATGGTATGGTAAAGTCTTAACAACCAAAGACGAAGCCAGAGCGGTCTAAGACATCAAATACGTCAAACATAGACGCGGTGAACTTACCAGAGACGCCAAGGTTGACGGACCGCTTACTATCACCGCCGACCACAATTTCTGACAACAACGAGCCTTATCTACCCGATATCGATTCCTTATCTGAACTGCAGCCGCAGCTGCAATCGCTCGACCACTCCGACCTTGTTGCACGATACAAGATGGAAGCTACCAAGGTGCTACCAAATCACAGCTTCGACGTCATTGACGTGCGAATTCAGCAATGTCCCAAAAAGTGACTCTTTCGAATTAGGAAGTTGATTTCAGCTTGTTGGTATGGGAAGATGGGACTTCCAGCGAGTAATGCTTTGCTCCGACAGAACATTCTCGGGGTAGTCTAAACAGCCCCGCAACCACTCAACCAAGCTCGAACAAGATGGCCGATGTTGCGCTTGCTGTCTCCATGTCACTCTAACCTGAGCTAGAGGAAGACTGTACGACTCAGTCTAGGTTCTCCCAGCTCCAGTGTTGATTTTTAACTTACACGAAATCCTTTCATCAGTCTATCACCATGAGTGACAGCAAGAAGAGCGCATACGGAAACACAGTATACTCCCTGCTTTATACCGAAGTCTATCGACTAAACTACCAAAGCGTGGAACAAATCACCTAAAGCACCCCGATACTATGCTCAACATCCTAGCAGCGTCGCAAGTCTGGCAATTTCATTTGGCACCCGACTATCGCCTCTCCGGCGCTTGGACACAGATTATTACCAGCAACATATCCTTGATCTGCTTGATGTCTGCGTATATCCCCTTATGAGACGATTCTTGCAGTTCAATAGGATCTGGCACGAATCCTTCTTACGCGGCGTGACCCAAACAACTGCATAAGACAAGAAGGCGGGGCCAGCTCGATCTCAGTGTCGCCATGTTTCATGGGCAGATCAATATGTCTCCCCAATCGTGAAAACCCGTCCTTCTCCCATCGTAGATGCCCGTCCCAGATTCCCTGGTGTCAGATCTGAAGTACCTGCGCCTCGTTGTATACCTACTCTACGCTCTATCCTAGTGTAGCTATCGCTAGAATCACTGTGGATGCCACAGCCATGGCCTCGACCGCAAACTCATACTTTCACTTGAGGATCAACAACATATGTCTCACTTGCTAGAAATACCTCACTCAAAGACTATCTTACCACGTGTGCCACTCCAATCAGGGAGG